AGCATTTGGGTTGGTTCCGTGATTTTGCTATTGTGAATTCTGCCGCCATAAACTTGTGTGTGCAAGGATCTTTTTCGAGTAATGACTTCTCCGGCTAGATACTCAGTGGTGGGACTGCTGGATCAAATGGCAGTTCTACTTTTAGTTCTTTAAGGAATCTCCACACTGTTTTCCGTAGTGACTGTACTAGTTTGTCACATATATATCACATATTATGATATGATATATATAATAACTAATATATATGATAGATATATATCATATAACATATATATATGTATCATATATATGTAACTCATGGCTGGGTGTGGTGGCTCATGCCTGTAATCCCAGCACTTTGGAAGGCCCAGCCTGGTGGATCATGAGGTTGAGATCGAAAACATCCTGGCCAACATGGTGAAACCCTGTCTCTACTAAAAATACAAAAATTAGCTGGGCATAGTGGCAGGCACCTGTAGTTCCAGCTGCTTGGGAGGCTGAGACAGGAGAATCGCTTGAACCCGGGTGGTGGGGGTTGCAGTGAGCCGAGATCCCATCACCGCACTCCAGCCTGGCGACAGAGCAAGACTCCATCTCAAAAAAAAAAAAAAAAAGAAACTTATTAATGTAACCAGATACCACCAGTAGGTACCCCAATAACTGATGGAAAAAATAAAATAAAAAATAAATTATTTAAAATAATCCAAATAATAATTATAGAAATATTGGTGGTAAAGGCTTAATTAACCATGAGTTTACAAACTTCAACATAATACTCATTTATACACACAGTTCTTTTACTTAGAAAACTGTCATATTGCCAGTGTTAGGACATAGATAGATATTTATACCTGAAAAGAACAATTTGAGGCGTGTAATCTTTTCCTAAACTTGTGCATAAATATCGTGTCCCTTGCTTCACATCCGCAGCTCACTCTAGTGTGCATTTGCTACTTGAAATTTTTTCTTAATTGAAATGTTTGGGGTATGCTTTGCCACTGAATCACAACATTCTGCAGTGGACAGAACAAACGCATACTGAGCACCAACCTTGTAGCATGAAACATCTTGTTCTTGCTGCCTTCATGCCTTTTCAAAGATTATCTCATTAAATCTTTTCACTTGACTCTTATGTTGAAACAAAAACATTCATTCCATCATATTTATGAGAAAATTAAGACCTGCCCAAGGTCAACACAGTTAATAAGTGGCAGAGATGGCTCTCAAACTCAGATTTGCCCAAATACAGTCTTTCTATTTGCTGTATAGGAAGGATTTATCATTTGGAATCTATTTCAATTAATAACTAATAAATGTTTCTGATTATTTTCTCAAATACCAGATTTAATGAGATACACTTCAAATGCCTAAAACTTATAGAAGTGAATGAATTTATAAGCTAAGAAGAAAAACACATGAATTCAGTATTTTTAAACTGAGGAAAAATAGTTAAAAATCACTGACATTATTTCTCATTTTCTTGCTCATTTCTTAATACTATTTCTCTGGTCAGAAACCATGATTGGTTTTGCCTAGATGATACCTGATCTCTACTGTCTCTCAACTCTTAATTTTTCATGCAACTCTGGAAATTGAATGGGATATCTGTGCAAAAATGTAGATGACTTACTCTAAGAACCTATATTCAGAAGTGACAATTCAGACTGATTCAGTGCCACTTTTAGGGATAATGGTTTAAAATATTAATTCTGTGACAAAGTTTTTAAAAATCCCGGCTTAATTCCTTTTGAAGAAATCTCAGACCATTTCCATGAAGAGAAGAAAAATACCATGTTCTACCCTCACTTGGTATCCATTGAATATAAATAAGCTTATTACATCAGAAATATAATTGAAATCATAACACTGATTTGTTTTGTGCTGAGTATGTATGTGTCCTTCATGCTCACTTTTCACAGCCTAACCCCGGCAATCTCTGGGTTGCTATGATTAGGTGTTACGTGTCAGACCTGCCAGCTTGAGCCCTAACAGGACAGAAGTTGTGTTCTCATAATGCTTGCCTTCTGAGCTGGCAATCAGATAGTACTTAATGGAATTTTTGTGAATATATAAGTGATGAAGACAATAATGTATAAACTTAAAATATCCCTAATTTTAGAAGAATCTGCTAATTAAGACATGTATATGTGCAATTTAAAAAATATCCTTAGCACTCCTTGAAACTAAGCCTGAATGTGGAAACATTCCACTTTGTAACTGCAGCCTTCCCGATTGTTATCAGGAGTACATGAGATAATAACCATAAAATACTTACCAAAATGACCAGCATGGAGGAAGTCGTCAGTAAATGTCACTCTGCTCTAGTGTGCACAGCCAGATGGCTTGCAACCCTGCACAACGTACTTGAGTTGGAAGTCCTCAAATCTGTTAAAAGTTTATTAAATCAAATGTAATAACAAAAAACGAAATGGCAGTTAACACACTCCTTATTGAGAGGATTTACATTTCAGAGGGTGGAAGAAAAACTGTTTCGTGAACAATAATATGTCTCACTTTATTAGACATATTTCTTATATTAACTTATTTATACTTGTAACTGCTTATTAAACTGTGATCTTTGGGTTTATAAATGTCTTATCTCTCTAACCACACTTGATGTTTTTGAGGGAATAAAACATTCTTCTAAAAAGAACCATGAACAGTACCTTCTAAATATTTTAAAGTATACCACAAGAACTTTAAAACAATTATGTATCTGTATATATATCTATACATTTTATAGAGAGTTGTGTATGTGTATAAAGAGAGAGAGAGTCACATGCTGGGTATGCATGGAGAGACAAGCATAATTGCATATAATAGAATGGTTTGTGAAGTGAACATAATTGTGTCAGAAAACAAGAGTTTGCATCCTGATAATGATATTTAAATACAGAGAAGTCTTGGGCAGGTCACTTAACATCTTTAGTGTCTTCACCTAGACCTGTACTACCCAATATAATATTCTGGCATGATGGAAGTCTTCTATTTCTCTGCTGGCCAATATGATAATCACTAAGTGCATGTGGCTATTGAGCACTTGAAATGTGACTAGTGTCTGAGGAACTGAATTATAAATTGTATTGAATTTTAATTATTTTAAATCTAAATAGGCACATGTGGCAAGTGGATACTTTAGTAAACAGTATAACCATAAAATCAAGGAGGATGGGACAATATCATATAAAAAGAAGGTCTTGTGAATTCCCTTATGGGTGCTACGAATGCTGTTTTGAGCAAAATGATTCTCTTTTGAAACGGTGATACTCTCCTGTGATATCTTAGGACTTTAAATCCTTTTCCCCTTATTTCTTCCAACAGATCTTGACAACTTTAAAACAAGAACAAGAAGCACTGTGTCTGTCCGTCGAGGTCAAGGAATGGTACTACTGTGTGGCCCGCCACCCCATTCTGGAGGTACATATAAATGCACTGACATGTGTACACTTCACTCACTGTTATTTTTTGTTGTTGTTGAATGTTCTCCCTTCTGACACCAGCTGAGTGGACGGTGTCATTTACAGAGATTCCCAAAGTCCCTTCATGTAGAGGAAAAACCATTCTGAATGCCTCCCATCATTAATATAGGAAAATGTCAGATTGTGCAAATTTTCCGCACCACTGCTGTCTACCTGGCACAAGAGGAAAGACACCTAAGTCAATCAAAGTCAGAATGCTATTGCTTGGTAATGCAGTGTAATTTAAATGACTCATACTTCTTACAACTTGATTGGGTTAAAAAACGTAGCCCTGCGTCACTTCATCTCCTGGATGGTCTGAACTGTCTGTGAACTGTTTCTACTCACAATACTTCTAACACCAAATGTTTGCGTTTTTTCCACACCAACAACCAAGTCTCAATCTTCTGGATACCAACTGGCTGTCCAATGATTCAATTCCATTCTGACACTAACTACCTCACTAACTACTCTAGGATGGTTAGTGTCAGAACTCATAGGATATAGGCTCAGTCCCACAAAACTGCCTCCATTTCAGATGCCACTTGCAAGGCCTTGACCTCCCATATTTCTGACTAACTGGCTATAAAGTAGGGACTCCCCTAACTCCCTCCTTGGCTTCCATAATTTGCTAGGATGTCTCCCAGAACTCAGGGAAAACAGTTCACTTACCATACCAGTTTGTTATACAAGATACATATGAACAACCAGATAAACATGTGGAGCGAGTGAGGGCTGAAGGGTTCTGATGCAGGAGTTTCTACCCTTGTGGACCCTCCCTGCATATGGATGCCCAGAAGCTCTTCAAACCCTGTCGGTTAGGGGTTTTATGCAGGTTATGTTATGTAGGCATGATGATCAAATCTATGGCCATTGGTAATTGAACTCAATTTTCAGCCCTTCTCCCATCTCCAGGAATGGGGAATAAGGAGGCTGAAAGTTTTAACCCTTTAATTATTTGGTTGGTTCCTCTGACAAGCAGTCAAAGGGCTTCACCAAGAGTCACCTCATTAGCATAAACTCAAGTATAATTGAAAGGGACCTATTTATGAATAACAAAAGACACTCTTCTCACTCAGGAAATTATAAGAGTTTTAGGATATAGATGAAATATATATTTATATATTTCTTATTAATTATAGTATCACAGGATCAGACCAAGAAAAAAAAGTTCCTTGACCGTAGAATCTAAGATCACTTTGTGGAGACTCATAACAACTACATCAGTTAGGAATGCATTTAACTGCAAATAACTGAAAACCCAGCTCACAATATTATTTTTCTCACATGCAAGATTTCCTTTTTTTTTTTTTTGAGACAGAGTCTCACTTTGTCACCCAGGCTGTAGCGTAGTGATGTGATCTTGGTTCTTGGCTCACTGCAACCTCTGCCTCCCCGGTTCAATCGATTCTCATGCCACAGCCTCGCAAGTAGCTGGGATTACAGGCTCCCACCACCACACCCAGCTAATTTTTACATTTTTAGTAGAGATGTGGTTTTACCATGTTGATCAGGCTGGTCTCAAACTCCTGACCTCAAGTAATCCACCCGCCATGGCCTTCCAAAGTGCTGGGATTACAGGGGTGGGTGAGTCAGTGCACCCAGATGGCATGCAAGAATTTCAAAGGTATGTAATCTAAAGCTAGCACAGCTTCTTGAGGATGTCTTCTAGGACTCATACCCTTCACTGATCCCACTCTGAAGTGTTTAGCATGTGGTATGGATGAGGCATAAAGTCTGCATTCCAAACCAGATCAAATGGGAAGAAGCAAAGACAAAAGGCGAAAGTTTGTTTTTGTCCATTTCAATTTACCTCCATTATCTAAAGTTTTTTTTTTTTTTTTTTTTTTTTTTTTTTTTTACTTGAGGACTTTGCCTTCATTTCATTGATCACCCCAGTGGCAAAAGAGAGTGAAAAATCAAATATTTCATGCCCTGGAAAATATCATAATTTTGTTAACAAGGGAGAGTATGGAGAGATGTGTAAGCAACTTGCAGTGTCAACTTAAAGGACCTATAATGACTAAAGGGCAACTATAACTGCACATAAAGGATTCAGTTATGTGGAGGCTTAATAAGTAGTGATATTTATTAGGATTTCACTAAGGTCTGTAATGACAAAATTGATAAGCTCCACTCTTGGAGGTTCAGGCTGATGTTTAGTTCAATATCTGCTATTCTTGTTATTGCCTTAGTTTTCAGTTTCACTTTCCATATGATTAAAAGAAGAAATGTTTTAAATTTGGAATTTGAAGAACATTTTTATTTTTGTCCTCCATTCAAAAGTTGTAGTGTTTCCTTTCTCATCTAATTCTGAGCTAACATTTTCAGCAGAAAATAGCAATTAGTAAAGGAGGTAAAATGCGTGTATTTCAAGCATACTGCATACAAAGGTAGGGTGGGAGAGCCAGGTTCCCCTCTATGTCTGGATCAGGGACATGGAATTGTTAGTATCTCCAGTTTTTGAAGACTGACAGAAAATCTAGGTTTGATTTCAAAGGTTTGTGTTTGGAAAATGGGATTATTCTTTAGAATTTCATTTTCCTTTCAAGTTAGTGTCAGAAGCACTAAATCTGGAGTCCAGGATATGAATTTTTATCCTTTTTCTGTTTCAAAACATTATTTGATACTGGGAAAATATCGTCAGATTTTTTATGCCTCACTCTGCCTACGTATAAAATGAAGAGATTAAAGAAATCTCTCAAATCCCTATTGATTATATCAATAATTATAACTCAATAAGGGCTAAACATCTTGTTTATCAAGTATGTTTGCATTATTGAAGGCCTGTCCTTTACATGAGAAAACCACTCCACTGTGGATATATATTTAGATTCAGGTGAAGTTCACTCAGACTAACACTTCTCCTTTTAATATGAAGTCTGATCAAAATTAAAATTGTAGATTTTACTAATTTCTTTTGTAGGCTACCTTCACTGCCTTAAGCTTTCATCACATGGCTGCAAATCTAAAAATTAATCTTGTAGGTATATTAAAAAAAATACCACTACTCTCTGGTATAATGATCTCTTTAGGAAAGGCAAAACACATGAAGTGATGCTGTGCTGCTGCACAGTGAAGTACCTGACTACTTTCCCTTTCCCACAGAGAGATGTATTAAAATTTTCCATAGACATCTACTGAAATGCACTTGTCTCTGCTGGCAGCAGTCAGCAGCTCTGAAATCCAGTTTCTTGAGCTGTGCTGACATTCCTGACAATCTTGATGGTGAAAGACAAGCAAATAAATATTCTTATTATGAGTTCTATTAGAAACGGTGTGCATAGTAACGCTGTAGGCAAAGCCGGCACGGCTAGGAAATTTTTGAGAAAAGAACAAAAAGATCTTCAAGGTTATAAGAGGGCATCTCAGCCATCCATCAGTTTTGGGCAAGGGAGACAATGATTATCTGATGAAATCCTTCCAATTTCTCAAAAGGCTCCAATGCAACAGTACAACACTGATTCTCTCACCGCTTTTCTGGACTGTGTGTCACCCTAAACTGGCAGAATCATTGTGAGCCACTGGGCATACTGAGCATTTTAGACCCAGCATATGGTCTCCTGGTTTCCATTGTAACAGATCATGCAGAGGAAAGGAAATGAGTCAGCTTTTTATTATATCAGTGGGGTACTGAGTAATGGCATGAAATCCATTGTAAGGGATGCTGCATGTCCTATTTCGAAAGCTGTGCGGTGTCAGACCTTCTTAGGGTAGCAGAGAAATGAGCAGCAATTAATCTGTTTTGAAAAGCATTTCAGTCAGCAGGTATTTCCAGCACTTTACCAATTACTATATGTGGCATCTTTGTCATCTCTTGGTTTATATCCATGAATTCAGATGTGATATTTTTGCATAGATTTTTACCATTAAATATAACAAAACACTAAAAAATAGAAATCACTTTGATGGACTCTGGCTTTCTTTGGTGCTCCTTCCTATTAGAAACAGAGATTATTGAGGTCCAGAATATCTACTTTGCTTTCTGCCAACTCCAGGGTCACTGGGCATCAGGAATTCATGACCTTTAACCAAGCTCTCATTAAATAGGAATTGAGCAGAGGAACTTTGAGATTCTTCCTTCCAATATACAAAAATTTCTAGGTTATTCATCAAAAAAATCCTCACGAACTGTTCATCAAAAGAAATTTTTGTTCATGACTTCCTTTTATATGTCACCAAGGTGCTTGCTACTCAAAGGGTGGTCCATGGACCAGCAGCATTGGTCTCACCTGGAAATTTGATAAAAAGGTAGAATCTCAGACCCCACCACAGCCTACTGAATCAGAACTTGCATTTTAATAAGATCTCCAAGTGCTCATATACACATTAAAGTTTGAGATGCCCTCATTCATAGCTGTGGTTCCCACGTGCACCCTACCTCTGGCCAGTGGGGGTTGACAGCTTGAGAAACTAAAGGGCAGCTTGTTAAAACCATAGGTGTCCAACCTGTTCACAAGGATATTCTGATTCCATAAATCTGGGGCAGGGTTCCAAGGCTGTTAAAAAAGAAAAAAATCAGGCCAGGCACGGTGGCTCACACCTGTAATCCCAGCACTTTGGGAGACTGAGGTGGGAGGTCAGGAGTTTGAGACTAGCCTGGCCCACATGGTGAAACCCCACCTCTACTTAAAATACAAAAATTAGTCGGCTGTGCTGCTGTGCACCTGTAATCCCAGCTACTTGGGAGTCTGAGACAGGAGAATCGCTTGAACCCAGAAGGCAGAGGTTGCAGTGAGCCAAGATTGTGCCACTGCACCCCAGCCTGGCGACTGGGGTGAGACTCTGTCTCAAAACAAAACAACAAAACAATAAAACTCTAGCTGACTAACTGACACTGAGGCAGCTCCAGATCTAAACTCCATTCACTTGGATCATCTACAAAAGTAGCCCCGGTCTGGCCCTGCTGAGATGGAGTGCTTTGATTTCCACATCACTCAGGCAGAAGGGCTGAACATT